ATGTCTAATCGACTGCTTGCTCTACCTCAATTTTACCAGACCCGACATAACATACTCCACCTAACATCTCAGTCAGTTCATTCAACAGCTTAGACGACTGCATCTTGATGCCGCACTACATGTTCTCAGGTACCTAAAGCAATATCCGAAGCAAGATATCTTCTTCCCGAGAAGGAATAACATTAAAGTTCAATCCTTTTGTGACTCGGATTGGGCATCGTGTCCGATGACCCAAAAATCTCTCATGGGCTTCTGTATCTTCCTTGGGCCTGCACTAATCTCCTAAAAAATAAAGAAACAAACTATGGTGAGCAAGTCTACCACAAAAGTTGAGTACATAAGTATGTCATCCATAATATGTGAAGTTTAGTGGATAACCTATCTCATTTGAGATTTTTAAATAGTGCCTCACTTACCCGTAATACTTAACTACGACAATAAAGCCGCCGAGCATATCGTAGCAAATTCGATCTTTCACGAATGAACGAAGAACCTTGACATCGATTGCCACATAGTTCGCAACCAGATACAAAAGAGTTTCCTGGAAACGAAATACGTTACCTCAAGAGAACAGCTCGCTGATCTGCTCACGAAACCTTTAGGAACCTCAACACATCACCGATTTCTATTCAAGATGAAGCACCTGCAACAAGAAAGCACAGAGGGTTAAAAAAGTGATAGTGAGGAACTTGAAGTGTTGAAAGTGAACAGGCTTCATCTTGAGGAGCGGGTGAAAAGAATTAAGTGAAAAAAAAAAGGAGGAAAAGGTTGAAAGAAAATGGACAAATGGACCGCTCATATCAAAACCCTAAAATAAATGGTCAAAATTTTTTCTATTTTTAAAATTGGTTATTGTTGGGGACAGCTAGTGGTCTTAGTAGATTCTAGAGACCACCTTCCCTCTTTTCTTTTACTCTCTTGTATGTGTATAAATTTCCAATGCCTCTACACAATAAAATATGTAGAAAATTGAAGAGCATTCAATACTCTATATTTACCCGGTAGGGTTTCTTTACAGTTATAAATAGTATTAGAGTAAATGTCAGCTTGACGACTATATATGATCTTAAATACTAAGAACATCAATAATTTAAATTTTGAAAATTATCATATTTCAATCCCACGTCAAAAAAAAATAATAATAATAATTTTTGAACTTCATAAAATCATATACTATAAATAATTTTCGTTGGAAAAGTTGTTGGATTATTGGTACTTAAACCTGTAATATCACCGAAATAGTAATGATAATATTATAATAAATTAATTGAGCAAAATTATAAAAAAAAAATTAATATAAATTGATTATAAAGTCATGAATAAAAAAGCAGTAAAATAGTGAGAGAAGATTTACATAGTTTTATTTATATGATCATATGAAGCTATAAATTAAATATAAAAATCAAGAGGTTGCAGAAAGAAAAAGAGATAAAAACATTTACAAACTATGAAATATGAAAGTTCATAACACTCTAAACTGCAATGATTTTAGAAGCAAAGCAAAAGTGTAAATATGAAAGATTTAAACCAAATATCTCGAAACTTCATATTGACAATAAGAATTCGAAATGGTTAAAAATTCTCAAAAACATTTACAGAGAGCTGTAAATGTTAAAAGGTTTAAGAGCAAATTTTCAATTGATAATCAGTGCATTCAGTCGCTGTGATATGATAAATTTTCAAAGCTTCAGATTTGATCTCTTTAGCTTGAAAAAACTTGGTTATCATAATTAGTAATGTGAGTCGAAGCTTCCCAAGATATTCTGCCGTACTCAATTTGACCATAAAAAGTAGAAAGAATTTTTTTTTATGGGAAATGAGGAAAGATGTTTGGAGACAACAACAATGTTTGGCATAATTTACTCATAAACCATGCGGTTATCATGAGGAAGGCTAATATTATAAATATCACTTTAATCTGTAAGTACACGAAATCATATATATATATATATATATATGCTTCTTTTTTTTTAATAACCGAACAAAATGACAAAATATTCACATCACATTTAACATCCAACTTTTATAGTAAGTCATTTCTACCTTATGACACACCTAACAGAAATTTCTTGCTCTAAAATTTATAGAAACAAACTTTGTTCTATTTAGTAATAAATTCTCACCCCAAATCAAATTCTGCAAAACCATGTCTGTTGTCTATCAACTTCAATCTAATTGTATGTAAACAAACAGTCAAACACCATGATCTAATTCAACAATAAAGCCCTCATCATCTCAGTATTCTTCTTCATCAGATTCATCATCGTAGTAGTATTCATCATCATCATCATCGTTATCGTAGATGAATCCTATCAAATGCTGTCCCCTTAGACGCTCTTGAATCCGCTCCCTTATTGCAGTTCCCTAGTATTTTCCCAACAATTAATACCATCATCTACATAATCACAACCCTAACCATGCATAAAATATTGCCTTCTTATTACGGCATGGAAGATAGAGAGCCATAGAGGGAGAGAGGTACCATTTTATGGCAGCGTTCTTCAAACATCTCGAGAAACCCGGCAACTAATCGATCAGCATTCTCAACCCAGGTGTTACGATGCTGGCCAGCTGTTCTAGCTACAATTTGTATCTGTAATGAACAGGAATCAAGTATGCATATATTAACTATACAAGCTATTGGATAAAAATCAGAGACAAAAATTGGGTAATTGTTGAAGGAAACACTAAATCCTCTTCATAAACATAAATAGCCTTGATTTCAATCCCATATATGTCCACTAGAA